TACGGAATCCATACTGATTTTCATAGATCATATTTTGTGACTGGAAAAAGCTGTATAGCCTACTATATATAATTTTCTCGAATAACTTACCAAATACGGCTAAGGTAGAGACTGGTCTATAGTTTTCAAGTAATTCTTCATTTTCTTTCTTGTATATGGGACTGATCCTGCCAATCTTTAAATCGTCCGGGAATATTCCCTCCTTCAAACATTCATTGTATAGTACAGATAATAGGGGGGCGATAATTCTGGATGACGCTTTTACAACATGTATTGGGATATCAGACGATTTGCCATTTTTCAATTCTGATATTATTTTACATACTTCATCGATTGTACAATCATGCATGTAAATACTGGTCGTGTTGGATTTTGGTAGGTAGTCATAGATACTGGGGATGCCATTAATTAATAGTTCGCCGATTTCATTGTATGCCTCGTTAAGATTAGAAGCTAGGGAGACAAAGTACTTATTAAACTCATTAGCTATTACCCTACGATTAGTAATTTTTTCATTATTGATAGTAAATAGAGGTTTGGTTTGTCGTTTTCGTTTACCCCGTATTTGGTTAATTAATTCCCACGTCTTTTTACTGTTTCCGTGCAACTCTGCAAATTTTCCACCATAGAACTTAGATTGAGCATTGCGGCGATCTTTTTTGACCTTCCGCCTGCAGTCACTGTATTTTTTATACTTGTCACGTTTTGAGCAACATATTGGGCATTGGCATGTCCCCCCTTTATTTTCAATTTCCCCAAATTTACATTTAACTTTTCTGACCTTTACCCATTTATCGTAAAGTTCGTGCTGATATGAAATTTTGCCCACAAGGTCTGGTGTAATCCATGGGTTGTTCAGTGCTGTTCTTTTAGAGCATTTAGGGGTTTCTAACTTACAAGTTCTATCTATACAGTCCTTAAATATGTCGTGAAATGTTGTAAAATTGTCGATAACATTATTATTGAGATCATGTTCCAGAGTCTGTAAAAAAGCTTTTACATTCGGTTTGTTGTAATCATAATACTGTTTGTATTTCAGGTCAATTCTGCTAGAGTCCAAGTTTCTATCAAAGATTTGGAAGATGGGTGAGTGGTGTGATATACGGTCAGTCAGTATTCCAGAAGCTACTATACTCTCTACGTCGTTAGTTATTATGTTATCAATACAGGATGCTTTGCAGCCTGGTTTCTCATGTGTTGCTAACGAAATTAGGGGGAAAAATCCTTTACTTAATAGTATTTCTTCATAGCGTTGTACGATTGTGCTATTCTTATCGTGTAAATCAATGTTAAAATCACCCGCTAGGTAACTACACTTGGGGAGACTGTCAAGGATGTCAGAGAGTTCAGATAGTGCAACATTGACATTACCACTTGGAGGACGGTACATTACACCAACTGTTACTGGGGAAGTTGTACTACTTACGGCCACAAAAAGAGTTTCTAAATGTTCAGTGATATGGGATACATTGCCGTTTACTCTGGCACTAAGAGTGTCACAAACATAGAGAGCCACTCCAGTGCCCTTTTTTTTATCTGGTATTGTGTTTTGGTAGAAACTGTTGTATCCAGTTAATTGATACAAACTGCTGGATTCAGGACCTTCATTTGTTTCCGCTAAGGCTATGATCGAGAATTTCTTGGTGAGCCTATGGGATTCAATAGCGAAAGTGTCGAAATTTGACTTATTGCCGTCGATGTTTTGGAAGAGAAGCGATGAAAATTCATTCATTTGATTATCTAGTGCTTTGTTGAATTCCTTGACATTGTACGATACGCAGTTATTTAGTATTTGATCTACTTTTATGATAGTGTCATCCACTTCACTACTTTCAATATCACTTAAATTAGTGCATGCAAGTCGAAATGGATTGTAACGAATAACTGCTAAATGTATGCACTTGGGACAGTAAAAATCGTCAGATAATGTGTCATTGTTAATGGATTTGGTATAGCACTTATGGTGCATTGGGCAGTCGCATTCACAGCATTCAACAATGAATTGTCCTACGTTAATGAACTTCGCACAGACTAGGCATACCTCTTTACTCAGGGGAGTCAGAATGGCTGGTAACCATCCTGGTGTCGAGACTCAGCAGCAGTAGTAGAACCCGTCCCACTCAACACGTTCCGATATGAGCGTCCATCAACCTCGTCTGTTCTCCTTTTCCTTCTATCAACTCCTCCATTCATTCTAAGAAGCACTGTGTTACGAATCAAAGTGCCTAGTTTAGCTGTACCCCTCCAGTTAAGGTGGAGATAATCTGGTCGCTGGTCTCGGCCGATGTTTCTGGAGAACTGTTGGCTAAGAAGCCCAGCATCATCACAGAACCCACCGAACCCATCAACGTAAGTCACACCAAAATTTGAAGGGATCAGCTCTGTCAGAATAAGGCGGTTAAAGCAAACAACTTTTCTATTCAGTTCAGCAAGCTTTGTAGGCAGGGCTGGACAAACATATACATGTGCCTTAGGGTTAATAGCATGAATTTTCTCAATCTTTTTAATAAAGGGAATAAATACATTTCGTTTAATATCAGCTGTATTCTTGATCTCAGGTTTTTTAAGATCATTAATCGCACACATCAAAACAACGTTACGATAACCACATGTGACATATGGGTCAATCTGGTCAACCACTGGTGCAAAATATTGCCTCCCAGGGAACCATTGTCCAAACGATTTCCTGGCATCTGACCGAAACTTAAGCCCCCCTGTATGACTGTCTCCTATGATGCACGTAGAGTTCTTGTTCCTGAAGCTAACTGAACGAAAAGTTAGGCTGAATCTGACCCCACCAGTTATTGCCCCATCCATGATACAGTGGCTGTAATACTCTTGGCTACTTCGTGTCATGCGATACATGGATCTTGGAACACATGGGTGGTCAAGGACTATATCATCCGTCTTCTTGTCAAAGAATTTGATGCTGCACTGGCCTCCGATGGACACAGTGAAAATTTCGGATTCGGGGTGGATGGTGGCTTCATCATCCGAATGTTTTGGTAGGGAGCCATCCTCTTTGAAGCGGTTGATCAGCAGACTATTGATCTTCGGTTTCTCACCACTACAGAATGCCCCATTGATTTTGTCCATCAGTTTGGAGAAGCTGGTTGACTCTAGCTGACCATTGGGTGACTTGGAGCCATTATACTTGTATGGTTCTCCCAGAGAATACACAGCACGAGCTCCTTCCACAACAAAATCCTCGTCAAGTGATTGACAGGCAAGGAGGAGAAGATCCTGCTCTTCTGTGGTGATAAACTCTTCTATAGCGCCTACAACTGGTTCTTCTCTTGATTTGAGATGCTCATTAGCTGTTAGGTCTGGGCCAGGGGCAAGTGAAGAATTGGTAAGTTGGGCATTTAAATGGTCAGAAGAAGCCAAAGAATTTTGCTCAAGAGTGTTCAAAGACTGTCTAATGGCTGTTAGCTCCTGATTCGTCTCCAGAGACTGCTTGGAATTTAGCTCCTGCAGATTCTTCTCTATTTTTTCCATGAGATCGTTGGTCTTGGAGGAAGATTGAGCACTTACTTGAGGAGTAGAAAAGTCCTGCAGTTGCTTGTTCAACACTTTAATCTGTTCTGTTAGGCCACTATCAGACTCAGAAACCTTTCCGAGTGTAGAGTCAACTGAAGTTTTCAGCTGCTTTAGATCTCCTTCCATCACTTCAACCCATGCTGGAGCAGTGCCCTTGTCACTTACCAGTAGGTGCTTGATATGGAGGTCAAGGTTCTGGATGGCAGCAATGCTGTCGTTTAGACTGTCAAAGTCAACCTTTGCAAGCTTTTCACCAAAAGCTGTGATGGTATTAAGCTTCTCTGTGGCAATAGCAGTCTCACACTGACTGTTAGATTTTTGAAGTGTCAGAGTGTTCCTAAATTGTATCGAATTAGGGGTCCTAATTTAAATGAATACATGTTCTTTTGTGTTTTGCATTTTGTCAGACCCCTGGCCTTTCTCACTTTACCCTCAATTACGGTTCCCTGAACGTTCGGTGGAGTCAACCGGGAAACTATAGGAAAGCAATTTTTAGAGATCCAGCGGCTTCAACTTTTAACATTGTTATGTTGTCGAATTTCTGTTCTGTGATTTTGTAACAACACTCCTGATTCAAATGTACTATTATCCATGGAAATTGGAAGTTAGCTGTATGTTGAATATTATCTCATACCGAATTACTAAAGATAAAAAATTACTCGTTACAGTGGGTACTTACTCTGTATAGTTTCTTCTTACAAGTGTTTTGTTTTCGATTTTTACTAAAATGTTTACCATTTTAATTTATTAAGTGAATTAATCCAATATTCATTTATTACCAGATACAAACTCCATAGACCATACTCTTGTCTGCTGGTTTCTTCCATTTAAATTAATCCAAATTTTCCTCAGGACATTCTCCTTAAACTTGAGCTGTTGCCTAGAAAAATCTTTACACTCCCATATTTTATGGTCTTATCTTACTATTTTTTAAAATATGTCCTGTCATCACTCCTGGAGTAATGGATATTATATGTTTATTGCAATAAATATAATAATCAATAAATTAGAATAGAAACTTGTCTTCTTTTCAGCTCACTCTTCTGAAACCTCTTCCTCTACATTCTCAGCCTCATCATCTTATCTTACTATAATGAGGAAACTAGTCAAGATTGATATGACGTTCACAAGAGGAATTTGTTTCTCCCTTTGACATTCACAAATGTTATTATGGAATTAAATTCAATTCAACTGTAACTTTCATGTCGGCCATGCAAACTTTTCTACTACTATCCATACCATGGCTATCAGTTGGTCTCTGAATTTCAAGCTTTTGTGACCTTTGCCTTGGGAGATTTTTCTTTGTCATAAAAAGACTGTGAAATGTTCACATCATTGATAATGTACAAATTTGAAACTTGGAAGACTGTTTTTAGAAGTGCTGGCTGATGAGTGACAGGTACTCGTACAAGATAAACTCTTGTTAATATATTCAAATGAAGTCTAATGTATTGATACTTTGAGCAGATATGTCCGGTGTATTCTCAACTTGATGCAAGTTATTATTGACGAATCAATTTACAAACGCTGTGACAAACGGAAAAAAGTTGAGGTAAATATGTTATAATAAAAAATACTGTTTATAATGAATAAACTTGTATTTTTTTTGTTACCATAATGAATAGATATCATTTCATGACAAAATGTGAAATGAATGCTTCTGTCTCACAATTTCTTTGGGGTCTCCTACTTCCTTGCATGTATAACCATAAAAAGATTATCCAGTTTGATGTTCTTTGTTTCATTTAAACTGTAGAAAAAAGAAACTTAAATTACCAATTAACAGGAGGTGCATTTGAAGTCAACCAACAGCTATGCCTACGATCCCAAATTGTTCAACTTACTGAAGTTATCCCCTGACATTTTGGCTGTAAGTATTGTGCATTTTGTGTGTACCAGGCAGCTAACTGAAGTATTATGTATGCTATTGCAAACAAAAATCTATTGTTAAATAGATCCATTGTATCACATTGTAGCAATTCCTATCATGTAATGTGTATTGAAATATCATCATTGGGCATTTCACTATTAAGATTTAGTACCACATGAAAAAAGGCGTGTTGATTGTTTAGTTGTATCAATAACTATAGCAGTATTCAAACTTTTGAACAAATAAACAAATCTGATATTATTTCGTTACAGAGACAAATAACTCTGGTGGATGCAAAAAGGTTTAAAGCAATACCTCCAAATGAGTTCAGAGCAAGAGGATGGGAGAAGAAGGATGCAGAAAAACTGAGGCTCAGTCCAAATATTCATAAATTTACCTCGCACTTTAACCAGGTATATAACATTTTGTGTTTCCAGCTATGTGCTTACTTCTTACTTACTGTAGTTGCTATAAATATATGTATTCATGTAAATTTAATTACCCGTATTTGTTAATTCTTGTTTGCTGATCTAGTTTAATTATAGTGTTATTATATATTTGATTGGTTTTTTTCTTGCTCAGTAAAATTTTCTGACAGATCTCATATTGGGTTGCTGGAGAGATTTTACAAGAACCGACAGCTCGATTGCGTGCTGACAAGATAGCTTACTTCATTAAAATGGCAAAGGTTTGAACCATCTTAGAATTGTCCTTATTAGTGAAGAATCATAAAACACATCAACTTATTATTATAACAGGGCAATTTTTTTAACTGCCATAAAGATGTTGAGATGGTATGACTACATAGTCAGTCACTGAAGATTTCCATATATGGATATATCATTTCACACAAATAAGTCTTACAACTGCAGAGTCTGGAAGAATTGCAGAATTATCATGCTTTGATGGCGGTGGTTTTGGGGATGAATCTCAATGCCATATTCAGGCTGCAACAGACATGGGAGGTAGGGTCGATAACAAATCTTACTTTAGATTTTATTTTTCCATTCAGATAAAGTAGCCTTAATTAAATATTACTGAATAATATTTAATTGGGAAATTAATGTATTTGCCTTTAACTGTTTAAACGTCAGTTTTTTCTCAACCGTAATTTTCTATTATTTTCAGGCTGTCGGCAAAAAGGATAAATGTGTTTTTAAATCTTATGTCGAGCTTTCAAGTTTTAACTGGAAGGGACTAAAAGAGCTTTTAGAGGATATGAATGTTCCAGCTATTCCTCATTTAGGTAAATCTATTTATAGTATTTTAATATTAGCACAGTGCTTAGTGCATGCTAAATTTAAGATGTACATATTTCTCTATGTACGCTAATAAGGACCCAACCCAGATATTAGACAGATTCTTCTCACAAATTGTGAGAAGTACTTGATTTTCAGAACATTCCAGAAAATTCCTAAAGGCTAATTTAATAACTACAGTTCTAAAAATAGCTTCGTTAATTCGGTTTGCGTGTGATAAATCCGATGTCGAGTTTCAAATTACTTGTCCTAACTTTCAAACATAATACAGGCCACAGTACGAACAAAATGCACATTTGTTAACAAATATAGATTTTAAAACTGACCACCGTAAAATATATACTTCATATTTACTTGATAACAGGTGGCTTATTACTTAATTATATCTGAAAGTATTGTGGCGTGACATTCGCAAAACTGCAACTCGCGAGCCTCATCTTATTATATTCTTATTTATTTATTTATGAGAAATGAGGGTATTCTAAAAGAGATAAAAGTTTCTCAAAGTTTATCTTTCTTGGTCATAGATCTTGTAAGGCCGAGCATGAGTTTTTAACTCAGTAGTGTTTAAAGCCGTGATGCTTCCTACTAAACACTACAATATTTCTTGGTCGACCACCTGCCTGAGTGTCTTATAACAAGATATAATCATTACTTGGTTATACACCTCTAATATTCAACTTACTTCTAGTACTATGATATAAAGTACAGCCGGTGTGCTGTGCTATAAAAGAGTTAAAAAATCCTCTAAACGAGAGTTTTAGTATCTCCTAGTCCGCTAATTGTTTCTAATCAACACCAATCTCATCTGGTCGGATCAAGTTTCAAGGTGTCGTCATTTGGAGACACATTTTCTTCAATTATCGTAATTGGTTCTCAGCTTCCTAATTACCATGCCTTATCTTCTCTAACCATTTTCAATTATCGATCAATTATTAATTAATTATTTTGTTCTCCTCAGGCGTCTACCAACAACAGATATCAGGGATTCACTCACATCCTAAATTAAGTTCCATTGCTAAAGAAAATAAGGTGAGAACTGACTCGGTAGATTGTCTATCTGTCCCGTGATTATCATATCCGAATAATTAGGAAGAGTAGATGTAAGGTTTGGTAAAAGTTAGTGGTTATTTCATCCTAATGGTATTTACACGTAAAGGTGACAGTAAACACTCGCGATCATATCTTAAATCACCCGTCAACCGTCCAACTCTTTTCAGACATCAGAGATTATCCAGTCGATACAAGAATTCCAGAAATCTCAATTTGGTAAGTCACCTCATTCAGCGATATTAACTCTAAATACCAAGTACTCATGTACTTTGAGTAGGAGCTCTCCCCACCCCTCCTTGCCTCTCGACAGCCCTGCTCAGTCGCGATTCAAACAGCAAAGACAGATTCCAGAATTCGTACAAAGTCGTGTGCGAAGTCGCGTGACGTCACGTGACAGAATACCCCGCTGTGATTGGGTGGCATTTGTCGTGTTGGCCGGGGTGGAGGGTAGAGTGTTGACGGGAGTGTAATCAGGCGACCTGTGTTTGGCAGCTGAGATAGCGGGCGTGTCTGTAGTGAGTGTGTGTGGGTTACTTACACGTGTTGTTAGGTCACGTGTTCTAGATGAGATCACGTGTCAAAACAAACGTGTTTACACACTCTCCGGTCATGCAATAATTGTGAAATTAATAATGTTAGGAAATATTTAGTTAGGAGTATTTAGAATGCGGAGCATTATTAGGGTTTATAAATCATAAACAAGTTTAGCATTCAGCGAAGCAGTGTTAAAATGCGTTAATTAGATACTAATGACTTTTTAATACTATTATAATGACTTAATTACATCAACGTTAGGCTAACTTGGCCCGGATTAATTAATAGTCGTAATCATCTTATCTAATCTTCAGATATTCAGCTGATAAGTTACATACAAGACTTCTTGGCAAGCGAGAAGTATATTCTTGAGATGCAACGATTTCTGGAGGACAACATTTTTAAGTAAGCTAAATTTAGATTAACTCGGTAAAATGTGATGCGTTAAACTAAAATCTACTTGAATTTACCCGACTACTATAATATATATGTATTTAAAGTTTTGTAATGTATAATCGCTTAAATATGTAAAACTGTGACGTTATGTTGTACTGCATATGTATTTAATATGATTAAGAATTTACATTTAAATTTTAAGTACCGGGTATGCCGTATGTTGGACAATGTGATGGGCATTGTATAATCAGAATAGTTTTATGGAGTGAAACTTAGGGTGTATTTTACATTGCATAATTAATAAATAACAGTAGATTTAGTGTGTATACTTACTATATTATATTAATGATGTGACGACATAGCAGAGAATTTGGTTTATTACGAATTTAAAATTTGGGTTACAAATTGAACTAAGAAGAAACCCTTCTCAGTCATCATAGGAAAACAAATCATACGTAAACACGTGTAATAATCTGACTTATGGTATGTACGGTATGTACATATATATAATACTGTGTGGTTACACGTTAAACTATATAATAACATTCCACCGTGAATAAAGTATGTATAAAATATGAATATTATATATGAATATGAAAAAATGTAATGTCCATCATTGAACCAATAGGAATGTCCCTGCGCAGTTTCCTTCGTAAAATGCAGTGGCGCCAAAAATGTACTAAAAGCTTAAAAGCTAAAAATGTTCAGTGTGAAATGTGCTTACATCAAAATAGCAATAAACTTATTGGTCAGTGTACAGTTCGTTTAGCCAATATGTGATATGTACATTGCACCATGTCACATATAGTCAATGGTGCACTATTGACTATATCTGATACCACGACAGTGGTATCTGATTTTTTCTTGTATACAATATTCTGATATCTATTGTTAAAGCTATATTTAAGCTATTATTGTAGAATAAATACTGTCCTTTACATTTTGATCATATTTAGTGTAGAGTGTGTTAATGAAATAAAAGAACAAAAGTTAATACCGGTGTGGAGATGAACCGTGTTATTCTGACGCGTGTCAGCTATTAACCAATCAGCTTCCAGGATTGACCAATTAAAACCCGGAATCACTTTCACGTGTCAAAACAAATATCGTTGATCTCCCACCGCTGTGCCGATCTACAAAACTCTGCTTTATAGAAAACGGAGTTTCTTAGTGTTTAGTGTATGCTAGTCAAGCTCTAGTCACGTAGCACGAACGGCAGGGCGTACCGTATAGTAGAAATGAAACGAGTAAACTAAAATGGCGAAATAAAATAGATAATTGATACAAAGTGAACGTCAACAAACAAAACTTCCAAGTGTACGCTCCAAACGATTGACGTGATTATAGATCACTCGACGTGTCTAATCACAACTGGTAGTGCTCAGTAAGACTGGCTACCGTCAATTCGAATCCCTTAAAGTGATTAAGGGGCAACTAAGAAGTGAGCTCTCCACTTCCGGCTCTTCGGGTATACTCTCAAAACTCGTCACGCCACACTGCGTGACGGCACAACGCATCTGCTTGTACCACGTGACACGCCGTCTCGCCAATAAGCACTCCACTAGCAGTCACGCTGTGGTCGCGAGGACCAACCACAGGCCTGGCTGTAAGTCAGGTGCAAAGTGAGCGGACGGCTCGTTTCACTTTCAGAATTCAGACAGTTAGTCTGACAGTAGTTCTGCCAGCCAACCGACTTACACTCAAAATGTGTAACTCCCAAATACGAACATATAAAAACATTGGTTATTATATACCCGGAAACACATACTAAATTCTACGTCCCGTAAACGTTATACTGAAACTAAGATATCCTAAAAGATATCTCTAAATACCATATTACAACATCTCTACCCAAAAATTTTTTTCGAATATTTTAAAACAATAAAATAATCGCCCTTTTCAAAATTTAAATTTCAATGCTCCCACGCATCAAAAGTCCAAAACTTAAAAATAAGTCAAGTCTCAAAATATAATACACGGCCCTAACCCTGTGCATTAAATTTAAATCATCAAAATCCTTAAGTTAAAACTGAAATTGACTTTCACAAATCTTTCAAAACCTTCAAATACTTCCCTCTTGCACCAAGCTGTAGAGTCTTTGGTGTTGAGTCTTCATCCTTAGATAGAGATGTATCGAATCTCTAATTCGTCCTTGACAAGCAAACAAAGAAGTCAAAATAAATTCGAAAGTTTCTACGTTTCCGCCACTAAAGCAGCCCTGAGCGAGTCGTGTTGAGAGTAAAGATCCTATTATCCCTATCAGTAATGTTCTGAAAGATAACACGTGTTAATCATAAGTTAAAACTGGTAGTGGTATACTCTGAATATTACGCAAAGATCTATCTACTAAATCTTGATACCAAGATTAACCACAGTTCCTGTGGTAGTCTACCGGCCTGAATTACCTCAGGTTTCTCCCCCTTGCTCACCCAACCGTAGACCTGGTTTAAGATATCATCATCCTTCTGAGCCTGTTTAATTTGCTCATGGGTAGGATTAAGAAATCTGACCCCTCTCTCTAGAGAGCTTACTGGTGCTTCACTAGTAACCGCTGAAACATTTTCCACTGCATCAACTGCTTCTGCAACTAGTGGTGTCTCCTCTATAGTATCAGCCTGAACTAGACTACAATTGCGACGGTTATCAATTTCAGGCGTAATCTGAACAATGTTTACTATGCTAGGGTCCTCACTATTTTCATCAAATAAGAACTCCGGAATAGTTCTCTCCTCAACACTCACTTCACTGCAGGATTCCTCAATCAAATTACTGCAATCATCCTTAACCACGGTCTCGCTGCTTACCGGCACTTGCATCCTCTTGAACAGGATGGTTATGGGTTTACTATCAATCTTATCCTGCAGGCATTTTACCAACTTAACTTCTATCCCAGAAGTATCCTCATTCTCTGCCTTCTTATACGTCTTCTTATCTGTACGATTACGCAATGAGTTAAGTACAACGACTATTCTAGACCGTGCACTATCAATCTTATTCTGCAAGCATTCTAAAGCTGCACGCAAGTATCTCAGCGTATTTTCTATCACGGCAGTATCATCGCCATCTGCCTTCAAATCATCTATCTCCTTCAAAACATTATTTATGCGAAACTGAACATCCTCTCTCTCCATAATCAACTCCGCCCACTCCAGTTCAGCTGTATTATTCTCACACATGCTAAAACCGTGTCTAAATGTAAAAAGGTACACTCACAAATAGATAGATAAGTACTGGAACTGGCGTATTCTTCACGTTGCTGGAAAATCTTCTAGTCAAGACTTTACTGTGCTTTACTGGAACTGTAACTTCTACGTCTATCACTCCTGAGTAGATGTACGAAAAGCAAGGTTGCTAAAACTACGCAAATCTCACTGACAAACTAGGTAATAATGTACTGAAGTCTACAAGCGGCTGTAAACTCGGTGCTCGTCAAAACGATCGCACTCAACTGGAATATACAGGTACCACAAAATGTGTAGCAACACTTACCAAGTCTAGTAGGAAGTACTAAAGATCTCGAACAATCTCCACGTAATTCTTCTGCACTGCGATGTACACCGAACTTAGCTTATCAAATGAGAAACGTTAGGATCTTAAACGAAACTATACTGAATATAGGTGATACTAGAAGGATCACGAGCAAAAATAGCAACACTAACCGTGGCCTCCAGATATAGAAAACGGAGTTTCTTAGTGTTTAGTGTATGCTAGTCAAGCTCTAGTCACGTAGCACGAACGGCAGGGCGTACCGTATAGTAGAAATGAAACGAGTAAACTAAAATGGCGAAATAAAATAGATAATTGATACAAAGTGAACGTCAACAAACAAAACTTCCAAGTGTACGCTCCAAACGATTGACGTGATTATAGATCACTCGACGTGTCTAATCACAACTGGTAGTGCTCAGTAAGACTGGCTACCGTCAATTCGAATCCCTTAAAGTGATTAAGGGGCAACTAAGAAGTGAGCTCTCCACTTCCGGCTCTTCGGGTATACTCTCAAAACTCGTCACGCCACACTGCGTGACGGCACAACGCATCTGCTTGTACCACGTGACACGCCGTCTCGCCAATAAGCACTCCACTAGCAGTCACGCTGTGGTCGCGAGGACCAACCACAGGCCTGGCTGTAAGTCAGGTGCAAAGTGAGCGGACGGCTCGTTTCACTTTCAGAATTCAGACAGTTAGTCTGACAGTAGTTCTGCCAGCCAACCGACTTACACTCAAAATGTGTAACTCCCAAATACGAACATATAAAAACATTGGTTATTATATACCCGGAAACACATACTAAATTCTACGTCCCGTAAACGTTATACTGAAACTAAGATATCCTAAAAGATATCTCTAAATACCATATTACAACAGCTTCTTCAAATGTAATCGATAGTAGTAAACCTTTGTAAGGCTAAGGCTAGGGTGTGGCCCCGTATGACGTTTTGTTTACCTCAATTATCCCATAGCTCAGGCTTTGTATTGCAACACCCGCACTCTGCACAAGTTGGTGACCAACAATTATAAAAAATTACAGATCATTTACCGATCTCATGAGGTGATGACTTTATGTTGGGAATTACTATCGTAACTTCTAATGAATTACTAAATCTATCGACTATCAGTAAGTATAGTATAGATTATAGTATACTTATAGTATTATAGTATAATGCTATGGTGGATGTAATGTGAAGTTTCTCTTGTAAATCAAAATGAGTAATATCAGCTTTATAACAAAACCCACTCTGTAGTTACTACTAGAATTAAACCCAGAAGTAAAATGGTACTGGTACATGTCGCTCTAACTCCTTACTAATACGACTTCAATTAGTGAGAACTCCACAGCTTACTGCTAATATTTTCTCACCTTTTCCTCGTCAGTATGCTCTCTTCCTACTGTTCCATCTCTCTCTCTCTCTCTCTCTCTCTCTCTCTCTCTCTCTCTCTCTCTCTCTCTCTCTCTCTCTCTCTCTCTCTCTCTCTCTCTCTCTCTCTCTCTCTCTCTCTCTCTCTCTCTCTCTCTCTCTCTCTCTCTCTCTCTACCTCTCTCTCTACCTCGCTCAGTAACTCATCCAGTGTATTATCTACTAATCGTTATTATTCGTCCAGTAGAACAGCCTGCCAGTAACCCAACCTTACAAATGTAGACAGTTCTTTGAGGTATGCAGAGAATCCGAGTCAAGCTCCAATCTGTATAATCCAAATTAAAACACTTCCGGGACTGTCTGCAGGGTATTCACGCATAACTCAACCATTACTTAACTATGTGCGTTCGTGTGTTGTGTAAACGTATAAACGTACGATGTAATTTGCAATTATAACATAAAGTGTATTCAGTAATATGGCGGGTGTCTGTGAGTGTGTGATAGTGCGATGTAGTGCCAAAATATCGTGTGATAAAATAATACATTATAATGTTAACATTGTTATTGGCTCTCCGAATAGTTCGGATAATTAACCAATTTAAAATCTCAGTTATAAGCTATAATAAACTTTGTGCTGCTGTGTGTCCTGTGTGTGTCTGTTAATGCGAGCCATTCGTCTCCGTATATATTATATATACTATATAATATGTGTTAAACTCCGAACGGTGACATATGATAGTCGCCTCATATGCTGTTACACTAAAGCCATAATTTTAGTAATGCTAACTGATAAATGTTACGTATAGCTGGCCGGATATCAAATTCATGTTTCAAGGAAATAGACAAGATTTAAAATTCTACCATAATTTAAAAATTTTTGGATTATTGGTAAAGATAATTTGAAATCTGAAGGTTAAACACTCAGTTTAACATAGCATAACCGTAACTTTTCTCAGAATTTCTCTGGAAAGGGAGCCGATGGACAGCAACAAAAGCAGAAGTTTACCAAATCATTACAAAACAAAAACGAGTAAAAGTTTGGAGGACATAACATTGGTGAACCCTCTACACGGAGACTTGGAGAAATCCCCGACCCGGACAAATAAACCATTTAAACCGGGACACAGGAAGACTAGTAGTTTGTCTATGTTAGAGGGGTTTAATAGTGAGCAGGAAAAGGATGGCACAGTTTGTCTGCTGGTTTGTTACATTTCTATTGATTTCGTGGCAAACTTAACGAGAATTTATTGTTGTCCTAGTAAGATTTGACCAAATTTTTGCGGTCTTTAATACGTAATTACCAAGTCCTTGCTAGTTGTAACAAAACTTTTAATTAACGTACGTAAACCTCAGGATTCACCTGTCTTTGACAAGACATTTGTCATGCCAAATCAGAATCTCATCGACGACAGTTGGTCAACACGGCACAGGTACACATATTTCGTCATCACCATATGTTACGTCACCACCACTTTTAGTTTTCCCGGCGGTCTTTTGAAGTATGATGATACGTGAACATTACCTACTGACTCATTACATTGTGTACATGTAATTGAAATGATGTGTACCAACCAATCACCTGCTAGCTAATTGTTACATTTCAAATGAAACTGATGACTTTACTTTCAAGCTCTAATACAAATTTCCTAGATCATATCTCTCCAGGTCCGTATCAGAGCCACCATCTTCAAGTTCGTTACAAAATAGCGTGAAATTCGGGTCACTGGGGAAAATAAATGAGGTCAGAGTCGAAGGGGTGTTGTTAAAGAAAACATGTCAGCGGTTTGGCAAGCAGCCAAAGATCCGTCGGTGGAAGGCTTTCTATTGTTTGGTGAGCTTATTTTGGGATCTTTCACGTTTGCATGAGAGCGGAATGGCGTGATAGCTTCTAATTTTGGATATTTTGGAAATTGCGTTTATGGATTGGGCGAAGGTAAAATGTATAAGTATTGCGCGCAAAATCCTAATTATTGAACGCGCGTAATGTGAAATTCGTGCGCGCGGCTTCATTCTAGCGTGGGCGCGGTAGCTTTTAGGCACGTGATATACCGCACGTGACTTCTTTACTTCCTTTACCAAAGAGTAAAGACTAAAGCGCACTTACGTCACTGCTGACGCAGCCTTGTGATTCTTGCTCAACCTTTGGCATCATTCTATAATCTAGCGTTAGATTGTACTTGTGCGCCCACGCGGCATGCCATCCTAACAGACAGTCTATCGTCACTATATCCAATCTTGTAAACACTTCAGGTATCAGACGGGAACTTATCACTGTACATGGTGAAGGGTCACAAATCAGCGAACGGTATCGGACAGTCATCAGTTCTGAAAAAGTCAATAAATCTAGACTCTTGCACTGTGTCAGTTTCTTACGACCTGAAACATTCCAACGTATTCACGATTGCTGACACTGTTGGTTAGTTTGAAATATTTAAACTTATGAATTAATTAACAATGGGCACACACCGCATACAGTCTCCTTGTCGGAGATAAAACGAGGCAACGAATAATATAGTGCTCACTGCTCAGCCAGTTTTCTGAAGAAGTCCGCTTTAAGTCTTCAATCCCAACATATTACGAATAGCTTAATTACGAATATAGAACTATATCGTGTGTAGCCACACCCGGGAAGGCGCATTATATCATGTCTAAGGAAGTATGGAATGCTTAAACTAATGTGTTGAAAACCTTGTCTCAATAGTCAATATTTGGGTTGCATGATTTTCTTCAGAAATTAGTGAAAGGATAGTGCAAAACGTGTTAAGCTCCCGTATTATATAACTAATTTGAACCGCATTAACACTAAAGTTACAAGTTAGCAAGTTGTATAGGTTCATCTTGACACGAGGAATTATTCTGATTGTATAACATTTATTTCAGGTAATATTTTCAAGTTCAAGAGTAACCAAGAAACGGAAGCACAAGAGTGGGTTAACAAGATATTGGAGGAGAAAAAGCACCAGCGAGACCTCATGAGCTGGGAATAAAACAGAAATTTTGGCAATTTTGCGATTTGAACTCTCCGATACTATCTTTTTAATTCTAATTTCTACATATTATTGATTTTTTGCAGTTTTTAAGTTAATTATGTGATTTTTGGAAAGTATGGCGACTTGAGGACAAAATGACAAAGACTTTGTAAAAGGCTATTACAATGGATATTACGATGGATTAGAAATGGGATTGGGAGTGACTGGATCGAACAATTGTCAATTGGCCAAGATTTGTTGAGTCTTTAAAAGACGCGATCAATCGACAAAAAAGAACTTATAGTGCAGATATACCACAGGACCCATAAAACTGGCAATTAGCAAAATCTGGTGTTTTGGGTTCGATCTTGGTAACATATTTGTCACAGCTGGAATATATAATAATTTGATTTTAACGTATTATTTGGACAATTTTATTCGCGCTATTATGACTATTAAAGCTTGAGTAAATGTATTCTCTTGACTATACTGTACCGCTTATCAACGGCTGCCCCGTGGTATTCAAGGTTTTATGATAATATTTGCTTTAATATTTGAGGGTTTCTACGTTTTCTATCCCGCCAACCTTTTACGTTGCATTTTTGCAATAGCACCGAGTGCTAATATGATAACCTATCTTTGTATTTGAGTGTTTTGGCAGTTGACTGATTGTATTAGCGTCAAATACTGAACAATGCCCAGTCAGAATGACGATGCTCAGTTTTGTTGCCGTTAATTGGACAATTGTAATTTTATCAAGCCTAGAATTAAAAGTTAATCGAAATCGAAAAATTATCTGAGTACAAGTTTCATCATTTTTCTGAGCTTATTGAATGTGAAAAATGACTGAAAACAGACTAGAATTTACATGATTATGACAAAAATCTTTTTATTTCAACGCATGGGTGATGTTTTTTACTTTTGAGTTCGACTTTTCGTTAAATTGACTAGACAATATTTAATCTTTGGAGTTTTGTAGCCGTACAATTGGATTTCAATTATTTCCGGCTTTAATAAGGTGTTATTACTGTGTAAACTCTAATGCTCTAAAAATAAAATATTTAAATTCCATCGGAACAATTCGCACACTGATTGGTAGGCCATGTTACCACGTGATGCAGCGTTAGCGACATAACGCTCCAATTAACCGAATGTCACCAGACAGTTTGAGGAAATTTCTTAGCTGTAGCCTATAACTTAAATATATAAGCATATTTATCAACATGCCTCGGTGACGCTAATTAAATATGCGATTTGGCACCGATGCTGAATTCTTGATGTTTCATAATATTCATTGTTCACAAAACTATGGCTTGTACACGTCGGTTGTGATGCTTCGTCATTCTAAGTCCTGACTGCTGTCTTCGACATTCAAAGTCACAGATCTTTATTCATTTTGTTAAGGCTTAGATTTTCCCAATAGGTGTACGTGTTTATCTTTAGAATAGTATTATTCAATATTCATGTCAATTTCCTCTTTTTGCGGCCAACACGCCGCTCCATAATTAGATTTTAAAATATAAATGAAGTTTACCGATTGACTTGATGCTAACAAGAAATTCGTATGACGTTAGATAATTGGTAAATAGAATCAAGAATTAGCCGCATTATATTCACAGCAGTTTCGGAAAACCAACAGTAACTTAATTCATAAATTTATGATGCCAGTATTTGACGCCCTTTTTGTGTTTTTAGCTATTTATTCTCGCTCAGTTTTTAATTGCGTCACGTACGTTCCAGTTTTTATGATTCCCTGTGACTGAAACGCTATTATTTAAGATCGATTTAATTTGGACTGGTATGAATAACGAACGTACGATCACGAACTGTGCTCAAATTTGCAAATCCTATTATCACAGTATAAGTATAACCACCACTTAAAAGGCCAAAATGAATATTAGCAGCCATACAAGTGCTCATTGTGGTCGTGGTCGTGGTCGTGGTCGTGGTCGTGGTCGTGGTCGTGGTCGTGGTCCTGGTCCTGGTCCTGGTCCTGGTCCTGGTCCTGGTCCTGGTCCTGGTCCTGGTCCTGGTCCTGGTCCTGGTCCTGGTCCTGGTCCTGGTCCTGGTCCTGGTCCTGGTCCTGGTCCTGGTCCTGGTCCTGGTCCTGGTCCTGGTCCTGGTCCTGGTCCTGGTCCTGGTCCTGGTCCTGGTCCTGGTCTTGGTCTTGGTCCTGGTCCTGGTCCTGGTCCTGGTCCTGGTCCTGGTCCTGGTTAATGTTACGTATGATTCACTTACAAGGAGCTTAACATGTGAATCGTAGTGAAATGAAATGGTGAAGGAATTGAATGGTGAATTTATTCAGTTAAACAGTAACACCAAACACTGTTGTGAAGAAATGTAAATAAAAGGAACCGACTAAAAGCACAATTATACCGCCTCAGTATCCAAACAACCAGCAATAATGATGAACCCAGCTCGCAGCTGGAGTTGGCAAGGCTCCAATCGCTTTATGATGACAGGAGTAACTCGTGATTTAGATTAGGCTTTTTAGGCTATAGAGGTACTGATACTGGCACTGGCGATAATTAGAGTGTTACTCTTTCTCAAACTCGCATGATGGGTTTACAAAACCAGCTTGGCGATGTTCATTGGTTATGGGGTTTACTATGTATTCGAGTGTTGGTTCTTTGCAAGCTCCTGTAACTCAGCTGTTTTTGGTACTGCCTACTGGTACAGTAATTATTAGCCTTGTATCGTAACAGTCCGTTTGAAAGACCCAAATAAGCTCACTTTCATTCTGAGGCCTAGTGAAATATTTAAAGAAACCCTTAAAATTATCAATGTCATGCAGGCATCATGGATAATTCACATTATCAATTATCATTCTTTCAAGCAGAAGCAGCAATAATGCGGGCTTGAAATCATCAACGTTATTATATATTGAAATGTAACATTAAAGCTTACTTGTGGGTTACTTAAGTGCTACAGAGGTTTTATACGGATTCGGACAATAAAAGCACATTTAAATTTACCATTATCATAGCTATTGTAAAACTAAATTTTACAATTACTAATTAGCGATCGATAATAAATCCTTCATTTCTGTTTTCTATTCCAACTGTAAAATCATCACCTCAAAATTCCATAATCAGTGGCAAATCAAGAGTTTAGTTAGAACTTGGCTCCTGTACTAACTTTAGATTTTAAATACTTTCTATACTTTCAACACGGTTATAAAGCTGATGATTCCAGTATGTCAAATATCTTGTTACTAGTACGTTAAGGTATTCAATATTTTATTAGACTTTATGTGTTCCTTTTTTAGTTGTACTGCAAATTCAATGACGCATTATTATCATCATAATCAAGAAAACAGCCACTGATTGTTACTTCTCACGCTAACCTGAACCAACATGACTAATTATAAAATAGTAACACGTGTCAATAATACGTAATATTTACAACCATCAGTTAGCAATTTTAATTTGAAACCCCGCTCTTTCTCTGTTTAAATCATCGCTGAGTAACTGCTACTATCCTCTACTGTTTAAATCATCGCTGAGTAACTGCTACTATCCTCTACTGTTTAAATCATCGCTGAGTAACTGCTACTATCCTCTATTGTTTATATCATCGCTGAGTAACTGCTACTATCCTCTACTGTTTAAATCATTGTTGTTGATTGTTACTTTTAAAGTGTACAGAGCAGAAACTATACTGACTGAATTAGGACAAACAGACAACAGCACTTGAGCACTCTGCAGTACATGAGAGAGCAATTTGACGCAATTTGACTAATTCACGTATGTTACCAATGTGCAGACATGGCAAGAATGCTTTGAAGAGCGTTCCTTTCCATATTCTAATTCACCCGTTTCAAATCGAGAATGTTCTATACCCACGCAATTCAAATTTACTGTATTATCTTGAAATGTCGTGACTTAGGACTGCTATAAGCGATACTACGACGACGTTGAAGACGACATTCCAAGAGCCCGGTGGACTTGTATGTCATCGTGTGTGGTCTCTACTGAATAATATTCTGACGCGTGACACAATTATAGCGCGTAGTTTGCTTTTTGCCGTTCTTGACGGTTCTCGAATGGTTAAACTCTTCTCTCAGTCAATTTTATTATCGTGCGTATTTTAATTAATTAGTTTAATTAATGATTGATTGAAAGTTGCAAGAAATAAGACAAAATACTCAACTCGGTATTCATTTAATTTTATCTCCATTAAGATTGCACTACTGATTATATTGTCTATCCTCAGCTTTCCTTAGTTTCCCAGACGTAAATGTATTATATTCTTACCCAAACTGTTCCCCCATTCATAATTATGATCATTTCATAACGAGTTGGTTACGGATTAAGGACCAAAACAGTAGAATCGAATTTCTTCGCCAAAACTATAATGAAATTGGTCTATAAAAAGTTCTGGACAACTTAAATTGTCATTATGTGGCCTACGTTTGCAGTTTCAACAAAAATATTGAACTATAACCAGATAAGAGTTGCTCGAATAAATCATTACATTTTCATCTGTCGTTTTTCTGGCCCAACCTGTTTCTTCTCAATAAGACTAGTAGGGAGAGTTTAGGCCATAATGGGAAACGTAGAGCGATGATGTATATATTATGGATTATGGAGTGTTGCATTTTTAAACCTTAGATCCTTTAAGTTTCATTAACACCTAATTTTCTTTAATAATAATTTACGTCTGGATAGATCACAGTTTTTAGTATATTTATAGCTCTAATTATGATAAACGTTTTGTATATTTTCATAATTATAGTACATCAGTAATTATACTTTGATATTGGAATGAGCAAACCTTGATTATACAATTTATTTCTCAGCTCCCAGTAAAACTACCGTTTCAATGAACATTTCCCTGACTCTATTCTTTGGTTTTTTAGACACAAGCTGTACAAACATATTAGGTTATAACGTAATTTGTAAGGTGTGTCCAGTGACGTATTATTGCAATACCTATGAAATACAAAGCCAGTAATACTCTGAAGCACCACCTATACAGTATTGCGGGTAAAACGTCAACACCTCCTCTGAACCCAGTTCCTAATACCAGTCATACACCAACAAGTATTAGTTCAGTAATAATTCTCCGAGCCATCTATCCAACTAGTGCCTTCTTTAAAACCTGAAACTTTTTGCAGAAATAGTAAGTAACATATTCTCCAAAAAGCATTTGCTGCTTATAGCCCTACAAATTTCGTGTTTTATGACTTGATGCGTGTTGAAGACTGACCGTGCATTCTTGAAAGCGTTAAAATATTCCGATAAATTAGCGGGATTTACATACTGTATAACGGTCAGCATACATAATACTTTAGCATGACTTTACCTGTCTAACGCAAATTCTGTCAAATATCCACAGCCATATATACAGCCCCTTCTAAATCTACTGTACTTCTCATCACTATTCAGACAGCACAATTATCTATCTGTCAAAACTTGCCCTTTAGACCCTGGCAGAACGTTCTGACAAAGCCAGGTACGTATAATTAGCAAGACAAAGAAGTACACATCTTCTGCGAGAGGTAGGCGGGTATTTGCACCAATGTGTTGATACCTAATTGTCATCTTGTAATTCACCCGGCAATTGGTAGTTTAGCTGAGCCCACACTAGCGCAGGCTCCTGCTGCTGCTGGGAAACTCAACATATTTGCAGGTCTTGTCAGCACAGCTCGATATATAAAGTTGTTACTTTGTATTTTCTTTCTTTGTTTATTATGTCGCCCTGTGTTTGGAGTAGTAGTAGCACAGAATTTAGTTCATGAAGGTTGAAACTTTAGTTGTACACACACCGCGCACTTTTATAGTTTCATTTAATTTTGTTTAGATAACCCAGACTTTGGTGTTTTTCAGCAACCAGCATGTTCTAGACTACACCACATATGTGTTAACTTTTTCAAACTAATTCGTCTGGTTGTATATCTAGACTCTCAAACAGCTCAGTTTAGATCTGACGTAACACCACACCTCTCTCTAAGGGAGATGTACGTCAAATGTGGGCCGTTACAGATCGGCAGTAACCTACAACTACTAAAGGAAAAATAAGGTGTGTTACATCGGGAGAGAAGCAGCTGACCAGCGTTACCCTGGGGCTACAACCCTACACAAACTGCCTCTATGCCGAACTATGAGTTGTACTACGAGCAGCTGAGTGTGGAGCACGGGGCCAGCGAGGAGACCATCAAGAAGGCTTATAAGAAGTTGGCTCTGAAGTTCCATCCGGATAAGAATCAAGGAGATGATGAGGCGACCAAGAAGTTTTTGGAGATCGGTACCGCTTATGAGGTTTGTAATTGTCGAGTGTGTAGTTGACTGTTGAGATTAAGAGCCAGAATCAGAAGGTTTATAATTGGGTAATCTCATCCACCTCTTTCCATTTCATTCTATATTCTACATTCTACATATGTATATGACCAGCATTCATTATATATTATTCTGATTACGTTTGCACAATGTTTAACGCGGTGTGCGGTACACTGTGCAAAGGTAATTATACTTCCATGATTTAAGCAACAAGTTAAGCACAGAGAAGTTGGTAGGAGTGGTTATTTGGATAACCCTGAGTTACTGTGGATGAGTACTAACCTTGGGACTACGTACAAGTTCTTAATTCTAATCACAAAATTTAGATTGTATAATTACCGTTCATGAAGTTGTACTCCGCATTTGAATAGTTACATCATAAAGATAAAATACGTTTTGCTATTAGTTTCTATTTTTAAATATAACCCACAGAAGCTGATAAAGATGCTGCATGGGGATGAGTCAGGGGATGAGGATGACATGTGGGAGCCAGACGAGAAAGAGGCAGAGTTGGAGATGTTGAGAAGAGAGTTGGAGAGGGAAAGGAAAAAAGAGAAACGCAGGAAGGAACAGGTAATGATTGATTTATTGTTAAACTGAAAGTGTTACTTTTTTTGCCTATTTAGGGAGACGTTTGCAAGTACAAACGCCAAATAATGACAGTAGCCGTTCATTAATTTTCGAAAATTGTTTGAGTTCATAATCTAAAAATATAATCGAATATTACTGTTAGTTATAAACTAGCCAGGTAGTGGGTAACACTGACAAGGTTGGTAACTAAGTAAAGCCTTCAGCTAAAAGTTTAACACTACCTTGAAGGTGGACGGAACTTTAAGTGTTCACCTTTAACTTGAACTTTTAAAACGAAGGATAAGCTTCAGATTTTGTAAATTTTAAATTTCTTGTGATTCTTGGTTTTTATCGTACTTATTACAAAGTAATGAGTACCTGCTGTTCAAAGCTGCTGATTACTAAGTGAATATTGGTGGGCCGTGAAAACTTTGAATATGTTAGTGCCTCGTATCTTTAAATTTTTATATTGCAGACACTGCTCAAAGCAGTTGATCTCGCACGAACAAGTTTTACAGCGTGCCGTTTTTTATGATCATTGATCATGAGTGATTGAAGTATTCGCTCTGATTTCCTGCGTGACAACACAAATATATCAACACCTTTAAATAATTAGAACTTAGAAGTAGACTGTAACTGCAGTACCTATTCAGTCTAACCAAGAATGCCATGGTCAATCTAGTCAACTTCATCATAACAGCTGCTCCTTTCTCAGGAAAGGTGGGAGGAAGATTTCAAGATGGAACAACTCAAGAAACGTATGGCTAGAGAACGCCAGGAGCGAGAAGATGAATTCCGGCTAAAGGAAGAGCAAATCAGACGGGAGAGAACTAACAGGGAACAGTCGATGAGGAAAAGAAACGATAGACTATCTTTTCTGCGGAGATCAAACACCTCAACCGGTTTATTCAGTTCGTCCACGTATACCTCCCCGAACATAACATATTCCTCCTTCTCATCATATTCCAGTGACAGTCTATCTCCAACCAGTTCTTATTCCTACTCGGCTAACTTAGCTTCTAAGTGGGCTGATGTCGGACCCAATCAGGAGACGGACGATAAAGGAAAAACGGAAAACGGGAAAAATGGTGATGCAACGAGCGAGACGAGCGATGATAAGGACAGCGAGAGCTCCTTGCCTTTTACAAGCTACAATTCAAATCATACAACGTCAGAAGAATTCTCTAATAGTACCAAGAAGAAATATGAAGCAGAAGAGCCTGTCTCATTCACTGGAATTTATAAAAGGGCAACACCAGTAACATCAGACGACTACATCAGCTCCACAAACACTGAGACTCATTATAAAAGATCTTCAAATCTGGGGGGAGAACGTATATCTACCAAATACTTTCCAAATGTTCCGACTCCACCAGAAAATTTGCAATCTGAATCACCCTCTTATGTACCCTTCACAAGTAATCGAAAAAGCACATACGGGACCACCGATTACACCAGCTCTAAAGATACATATTCGGAAAACCACAACTCCAGGGATTCACCTTCACCAGGATCGTCGCACAAATCCTTTGAATCTTCCCCATTGTCTTCGTACTCTGGCAGCCACACTCCTGAGCGGCAGTATGGTTCTAGGAGAGGTTCCGAGTATGACTCGGCTAAATCAGCCGAGCCTCCACTTGCTACCAGTGGTAGAAAACCATATGAGTTCTCTTCTTTTTCCAACTATTTGAACAGTGATTCTGATCTACAGTACGGAGGATCGAGAGGTACGTCTCCTATTTTTGCTTCCCATAGATCTGATCATATGTCACCACCTCCACCAACGAACAACTCCTCACGTTCAACTGATGATCTCCTCTCAAATGATAAGTTCTACAGTAGAAGCAGAGCATCCTCAGAGGACCGAACAAATGAGGAATATGGTCAATCAAGAGAATCGTGGACAAAAAGTCTGCCCAGACGCAAATCAAGCCGTATGGAGGAGCAAATAGAGTGGGAAAAACAGTTTTATCGTGAGAGGGAGAGAAAGAACAGAGTGAGAGAAGAAGATGAACGGCGGGAGGAGGAGAGGTTGAAAATGGAATTGAAGAGTCAAGAAATCTTGCAAAACCAGAAAGCAATGAAGAAGAAAAGATGGGAAGACAGCTTTGCCACAAACTTTACGAAACCAGCATATGACGATCACCATAGTACTGGGTTTGTCGAGTATAAGCAGTATAATTTTCGACCCTCAAGCGTTGAAAGTGTCACACCAGAAGATGTATCCCATGATACAACTTCCAGTTATACTTCCAGATACAATAATGATAAATCACCTTCATATGTTAAACAATTCCGGAGTGTTCATAGTCAGACATCAGCTTCGAGTGCTCGGGCGACTCCTGAAGGTGGTTGAAAGAAGTGAGGGTCGACGGAGTTAGTTGACTCTGGTTAGGGTAGTTTTAATCACAATCGTTAGTTCATGGTTGTTTAAAGTGACCTCTAACATATTGGATTTGTGATTTTATTAACTTTAAATTCAAGAAAGGTTTTTATTCGTGAAGATCTACATTTGGTGAAAAGAATCAGACATTTTTGTGAACTTTGAGTTTTGAATAGGTAAGAATTGTTTTTTGTTTTTTGAAAACTTTTGTATTTTTCTGTAGTTTTAAAATGTAAATATGTTTCAAGCTTTTCTTAAAATTCTTGCAATTTAAGTTACTTTTTAAGACACGTTTCCAAGGGGTTGATAGCTACAAAAGTGATGAACCAGGACATAGCTAAGAACAGTAAACATGTGCAAGTTTTATTTTAACGGGTGATACTCTTAAAATATTTGTTCCATATAGGACCGTCGACGAGTCCAACTCGGCGCGCGTCCTGGTAGGTTGTAAACCTACAAGTTTTATTTACTATACGTGGCACTTAGTGAACACTCGAGACTATTTTAACTCAGAATTATTGCTAGGTATATAGTATATACTATATAACTACGCCTGGTAAACACTTCATACACTTTTTATGACTTCAACTACTTAGAAATTATCGCCGTGCCACGAGTAATTTTTCCGACTGAATTTCCATTTAAGGTGTTAAACATTCGTTAACGTAAGAAATATATTTTACACATCAACTTTATTTCAGTCTTTCGGCCGTATTTTCCAGCACACATAATGCTATGGTCTCAGGCTTGTTGTATGAGAGCCAGCTCAAAGTACATTAACCATAAGCAGAGATGTCAAACAGGACATATCTCATAATCTTTGTAAAATTACTGATCATCCACTCCACCAGCTTTCCAAAGTCCTTCGAGTACTCTCCGAAATCTGACTGAAATATTTGTGTGTGAGATGCCTTGTTACTAACAGGTGGCACTGCTGTTAGAGACCGTCATGGTAAAGGCGTAAAATTCCTATCTATAACACTGCACGATTACCGGTGTCTTCTACGAAGGTTTTTTGGTTAAAAGGGGGTACTGCTTTCAGTAAAATTCCTCGATCAAAGCCTATAAAATACTTTAAAACTGGAAGTTTCTGATGTGTGCATCGGAATGCAAATTCGACACACGCAGATCAATGTTGCTGACATAGGAATGCGACTGGTTACCAATTATACAAGAAGTTAAAAATCACACCATCTGCATTGGTGTTAAAATAAGAAATAGAAACTCCCTACATCCAGGAATGTTGCAAAGCTATATGAACCGGCAAACACGACTCACAATCATACGTTGGAAGAGAGAATTGCACTTGGTAGCCGTGCAAGCATTACAGTAGCACATCTCGTTATCTTTATCCGCCTTGCATGCTGTAAGAGAGTATCCAGTGTTAGTGACACTGCCATGTACAGTAGTGTAATAGTCCCCCAGACTGCACTGTTAACTCTTAATGTTTGAGTGTGTGTATGTCATGTCACACGGGTCGTACTGCAGACGACTTCTTACAAGTGCTCAGGAATGTGTTCTGCTATAAAGTTCAGAAACACAAACTACACTGTCACTACAAACTAGACAGCGTTAGGTTTCTTGGTTACTGTTTTTTAAACGGAAAAGCCCCAACAACCGTCACTCGACTTGTGGCCTTGAAGACAGCTGGATATATTATGTCTAGTTTGTAATTGTAGTTGGCATGGCAGCTGGATATATTATGTCTAGTTTGTAATTGTAGTTGGCATGGCAGCTGGATATATTATGTCTAGTTTGTAATTGTAGTTGGCATGGCAGCTGGATATATTATGTCTAGTTTGTAATTGTAGTTGGCATGGTTTGGACCATTCCAAGAAGCCTCACTATTATTAAGGGTAGACTTTTAGAGTTAGGGGTGATGGAAACTTTAGGGACCCTATAACTCTAACGTAACCCTAAAGTCTACCTTAACTTTGAATGGTCGGGCTTCTTGGATACTGCCATGGTTTAACATCACGATGAAAGGATTTCCAAAACTACAAAACATTTGGTAAGGGCCGACCTCTTGTCAACGAGAAACCCACAAATTAATAGATTAAAAATACGCTAAAAGTACGTTAAAAGTACGTTAAAAGTACGTTAAAAGTACGTTAAAAGTACGTTAAAAGTACAGCTTGATTCCACTAATCATTGCATTACTTTTTTCCCATGCGGTACAGTTCGTATCAGCCATGCAACCGTGAGTTACGGACATCTCGCCAGCTTTATACTGCTTCACTTTACGAAAACAACTGTTCATTGCTGGGGGGTTATCAGTTTTACTTATTGATATTTTATATCACTAGAATATCTTAAAATTACAGTACTTTAGTCAAGGTCGAAGTATGTATTATCTCTTGAAGTTGATGCTGATCCTCAATCATTTCAAAATGTAGCTTGGATAATGGATATTGGAACGAAAGGTAATGTCTGAGGGGCTAGCTTTACAACTACAAGTAAAATTCTAACAACAAGATAGCTTTTTAAAAATTTTGCCACATTCGACAACGGAAATAAAATTTCAACGAACTGGTTCCACACTGTTTAGACTGCATGTTAAGCGCAGAGCAGTCATCGTAAGAGTCCCCACTGCAGTGATAGCAGAACAAAACTGAAACAAAGATATGAAAACCAGTTCAACTTTCTTATATCTCATTAGATCATGCTTAAAGATATTTACAATTCTCATCGATTATGTGACATAAAATTAAAATTTATTCACTCGCTTGCCACTTAATCTTTACCAGGCTGAAACAATAATTATATATTATCAGACGAATCGTCACAAAGATTTAGAAGCCACAAAAGCAAAGCCCGAACCTTCCTTGCACTCAATAAAGACATCCTCCTTGTGGTTGCAATTTGTAATAGGACGCCCTATTTGTCTAGTTCCATTCACTTTCACCTTCTCGGTATTTTCCTTTCCACTGTATCCGCAGTCCCACCTATATCAATATGAGAGAGTTGAGATTTAAAATAAGTTAAATCTAACAAATGACCCAGACCAATGGCAATATAAGATTACATTGTTGTGATATTATTCTGAGCACCAAAATTAAGAAGTTTAACGTCATAATGAACATTACCAGCTGGTAATTAAGAAGTTTAACGTCAGAATGAACATTGAAAAATAATAATAAAAGGAAAAAAAAGAAATAAAAAAAGAAAAAAAAGAATGAACATTACCAGCTGGTTACTCCCTCGGGACAGTCCATTTCATCCAGGTAATGTTGCTGTTTGCTTCCTCCTGTGATTATGATATGAATTATCAGCTAATAAACAGAAACTGCAGATCTAGGATATAATACATCGACCATAATACATATTTATACACATGAGTAGCAGGCTGGTGTTTAAGGTTTATTAATTTTTCATAATGAATCTCATTCTACCAGAGTACCAGCTCAACAGCCTCCTTGAAACATCTTCAATTTTTATTGGCTATCCGTTACCCTTACTCCTTAGTACTTTAAGTTTAGTAGGATAAAAAGCAGAATATGGAAAAATTTCATGACTCACCAACTTTATACTTAGTATTATTACTTCTTCCATAGTACACTCCATCAGAGAAATCAAACCCATACTCAGCTACGGTGAAAGTCTTGCAGATAGCAGTGGCGGTGTCTTTACTAAAGTTGTCATCACACACAGTCCCCCACTCGTATATCACTTCCGGTGGTGCGTCCTCATCTTCCGTAACGTTTAGGTAGCTTAAACAGACTTCCAGCCTGCCTTCTTTGGCTTGAACTATAACACCACCCTCAGCGTCATTCAGTTCTTTAACTAACCGTAAATCTGTGGTGATATAGGATATATAAGATTTTGAACCTGGTCACCAGGTTCAAAGTCAAAGGTTCTACATCAAAGTCAAATGTGTCGTTCCTTTGCCTTTGAAGTTTGATGTAGCTTTAACTGCAAATAAGCAGATAGGTTATTTTACCAAAACCCATAATCATGGGTAGAGTGGACCGCTGCCAGTGTCTCTCTTTCCCAAACAAAAGGAAATGATATTAATTTGATTGACCGTTCTCAAATGCAAAATGATACCGAGAATGAAATCGGTCGCTCGCTTTTCCCATTCATTCACGGCTTACGAATTGTAATAATTTTCGATTGATTACATGTCAATCAGATGCTGTAAAAATCTCTTTGGGTTGCGTTCGGGTCGATACCTAGTATTTCGGGGTAAGGGTGGTAGTTATCACTTATTGCATTAGCTGAAGTTTATTGAATCTTTATTGCCGAGTACAGCTGCCTTTGGGTAGTTCTTCTTAATCTATTACAATTGTAAATGAATGGGAAAAGCGAGCGACCGATTTCATTCTCGGTATCATTTTGCATTTGAGAACGGTCAATCAAATTAATATCATTTCCTTTTGTTTGGGAAAGAGAGACACTGGCAGCGGTCCACTCTACCCATGATTATGGGTTTTGGTAAAATATCATCTCTTTTTGATTATAATGTCAGGGTACTTTATAAAGTCGAAATATAAACTGATATCTTCATTATAATAAGGAGGAAGTTTCAACGATTTCGAAATTTTTCCTTTAAAAACATTTCCTTGTGTTTAGGTAAGCATATCGGTCCATCACTGACTGAATATACCACTTAATACTCATTCAAGTTGACATTAAATTCATATATAATGACATTAAACTGTCGTGGCAAAGCAGAATTTGTTGGAAATCACGAATGAGCAAAATTCTCACCTTTCGCACGTGCAAACTTTGAGCGGACGTTGCATGCGCATCCAATATTGAATCGCCGTAAATTTTTGCATGTAATTGTTTTATATATAGCTTGATAAGCATGCAAAGTTTCAAAGTATTTCAAGAAGAACTGTAATCACAACGGCACTCTAAAGTTGACAGAAAATGACGAAAACAGCAATTTTCAGTGATTTTAGCAATTTTCTATCAATTTGGGCGTGTCCCCACGTGTGCAACTTTTCGATTTTCAACTTTAAAACTAGCCTAATGCACAATTTATACCTATAGGAAGCAGAACTGAGCTCCACAACCCAAGGCATGGCCCAACACCAAAGAATACTAAATCGCAAAATTGACGTTTTTATAAAATAATTCTTCAAAAAAGCACAAACTTCAATGACAAATATCTTTATGAAGGAGCAAGCTAGAAAAACTTTCCGGTAGATTTTCAGAATGCTTGAACAATTATCTAAGGTAAAAATTTCCTCAGATTTTGAATAAAATTACTCCTTAATGGGTTAAAATTAATTTTAAAAGTTATTACTTTGTCAAAAATCAAGTTTTAAAAACGGTTAACTTGATGACGTCATCAAAAATTTTTTATACAATGTAAACTAAAGTGTAAACATATATTTGCAAGACCTGTGGTCGGAAATGGCTGTATCTTTTATACTTTTAAATCTATGGACACTTAAATACAGGCTACAATTGACTGGCAAAGCGTCTATCCCTGAATATATATGTATATCTATCTGTATATGTCCCGACAATCTGTCGTAAAACAGGGGTTCTAGAAAACCCATTTCCCGATGCTCCTGAAACCTGAAACTTTTTTTGCAGTCAATTTGGTCAACGTCTAGACGCCCTGAAAAATTTCAGATCTCTAACTCAATTTTAACATGGTTTTTAGGACACCTGAATATGGCGATTTTGGGTTTTTTACCGAATTTCGTATAACAGTGCTGGCGAGTATTTTAT